TATCTTGCTGGCCTCCATCTGTCAGAAAGATGGCAGATGTCTTGCTGGCCTCAGTAGGTCCATCTGCCCTCCCTGCTACTACACAATTTAAATATGAACAACTATATTTTATCCTGGTTATATGTAATACTTAATATTTTAATTTATGTGCTTTACTTAGTAACAATTTGAGAAGGAAAAATTTAGCTTGACATACTGAATTTATTATGTTGGCTGGTACGACATGCACATTTGAAAACACTTAGCTGCCTTATGTGAAAAACCCTCTTGTCATCACTTTATTTTTCGAATTTTGCCATTTTTAGTACTCCACATTACCATCAGTTATCTCACTTTTTTCTCTCCCCTTTATCTTTATCTTGTTTTTATGATTTTCAGTAAGTAAAACATTGAAGAAAAAAAACGAAAAAGCAGGTGATAGCTTTGAAAATTTCTTCCTAATTATTGAAGCCAATAATTCTTTCAATTGTCACTGCTGTAGGGTGTTAGTCCTGAGATTCTAACAAGATTAACGAAGAGAGGGAAAAGGGCACAGGGACAGGAAGTGGAAGGATCTTCATTCTATCAAACTAGCCGAAGTCCCTGGCTGAAAAGCATATGCTATTTTTCCACTTTGAGACGGCGCACCCTTATGATTAAGGGCATACCCCTGCAGATCAATGCTTCATATCAGAAAGTATTTCTTGTTATTTGGCAAACTTTCAACTTTATAGGCAGACCACCTTTGGTGGCACTGAAGGCAGAAAAGCAAGCATGTTTGTGTTCTGATTGTTGGCTTTCTGTACTAATCCATAAAGCCCCAAGGCTGCAGAACTCTAGACGATCAAGCCTTGAGTTACCCATTCTTGACTTGTGAATAATGATCAACTCATTGGACATTTTCTTCTATTCTCATCTACTACAGGTGACCACGACCCCCATCTCATAGTCATAACCACTTCCAGAAGAGGAGTGCTTCGGTTCTTTCTTGCATCCTAATAGACGACGGAGGGGACGAAAGGCCTACACAACATGCCTTTCCCACCGCCCCCACAATTATTACTTATTATGATAAAATACATACAAGATAAAATTTACTATCTCAACATTTTTAAGTGTACACTTCACTGGTATTAAGTACATTCATATTGCTGTGCAACTATCACCACCACTGAGCTCCAGAACTCTTCATCTGGCAAAACAGAAACTCTTAAACACTAACCCCCCATTTCTCTTCCTCATCCCCTGGCAACCACCTTTCCACTTAAGGTCTCTATGATTTTGACTACCCTAAGTACTTCATATAAGTGAAATCGTACAGCATTTGTCTTCCCCGCTCCTTTTTCTCTTTACCAATTCCTTTTAATTCACCTTTACCAATTCCATTTAATCCACTTCAAACATGTTTTCTCTTATGGAAGAGGTTATTCTTTTGGACTTATTCCTTTTTCTTTATCTCTGGGGAAAAAATTTAAATCTCATGCTGCCTCCTTCCACCCTTCTTCATACCATTTATAAGCATCTTGTTAAAAAAATTAGGGAAGAAGTTAGTGGGGTAATTTTCTGACTCTTTCATATAGGTACAAGTTTTGAAGTGTAATTAACCATAACAAAAAACTACAGCTGCCAATGTCTAAAATCTCAGAAACGGCTAAAAGTCCTTTTCAAGATATCCATAAAGGTTTTAACTCTTTATTCATCTTTAATAAAGTTATTGATTCCCAAGAAGAAATGTCTTCTAACTCACTTGTATTACTTTTCCTTGGAGGCTAATGCTCAGTATTCCAATAACAGTGTTTTCTGCTTTATTTCATGGGAAATGTGTGTATTTCAACTGTGTTATGGGTTAAAGAGGTTTTGAGAACTAGAATCTGGGAACCAAATCACAACATTTAATTCTGCTTGTCCAGGAAAGTGTTCTAAGCTCTACATAGCTCCTGGGAAATGAATTTGTAGAATATAACCCATTTATAAACTGGAGACTAAGGGTGTATTATATATTCCCCGATAGCTGGAAGCTGTTGGCCAAGTCTATGCCACAGGACATATGCTGAAGAAGAAGCTGACAACCACATCACAACAGCTTCTTGTCCTCCTGATCTCCTGGCAGAGTTCATGGCCATCAGAGCTCAAGACTCACTACCCAATGTGTTGATCCTATAGATTCTGTAAACACTCTTTACTTTGAAGACCTATTTTCTTTTTACTTAATTTTTTAAAATTTGACAAATACAAATTACATTTATTTGTCATGTACAACATGATATGTTAAAATATGTATACATTGTGGAATGGTTCAATTGAACATTGAAATTGAAATAAGTATACATTGTGGAATGGTTCAACTAGCATATGCTTTACCTCACATACTTATCATTTTTGGTGGTGAGAAGCCCATCTGGCTTTCTAATGCATTTTCTTCCACTACATATTAAAGGAATATGTTTAACTGAGGGACATAAAGACTTTCAAAACCAAATGGGAGAGGATGCTGAAATTGAAAAAGGTTTTCAAGAGAGTAAGTTATGACTGCAGAAATAAGTTTGGAGCAGAAGGCAAACATCTAATTGTATTATTCAGCAGGGGTTTCTAGGGGGTTCTCAGAAATCATCAAAGAATTGTAAAACAAAAAGTTAAAGAAACTTCTAACTCTTGCATAAAATGCCAATTTAAAGATAACACTTTAGTTGACTGTCTGGTGAGTGTCAGAACTAGAAATATTGATCTATGAGGCTCTATTTTGAACAGGGAAGTGCAAATAGCAATTGAGGTCAAATTACTATCGGGCATAGATGCACACACCAGCAGCCTCCTTTTTTCTCTCCATAGATCTGTGGAAGACTGGAGACATGCCTGCCTTGGCTGGGCAGCCTGGAGATCTATTTCTTTAACAATTAATGGAGATGAAAGAATGTGGCTTTTATTGACTTTTCTTTGTTGAGGTTTCACATTTCAGGCCAAGCCATTCCTCATAAAGAATATTAAATCCCTATCCAAACTTTTTGTGCACTTACAAGCCACTTCCACATTATTTGGCACTTACCTCTCTGCAGTGTCCTATATTATTTGATTACTTGGTGCATACAAATCTGGCCTCCTCATTAAAATGATGAACACCTTAAAGGCAAGTAAACTGAGTGACACCTCATTAGGCTCCCCTATAACACCTACGCACTGCTGAGCATGAAGTGGGTAAATAAAAATTGTATATACTTGTCATGGAAAATATTGTGTTTTGAAATATGTATACCTTGTGGAAAGGTTCAATGGAGCTAACTAACATATGCTTTACATATTATTTTTTGTGGTGAGAAACCCATCTGGTTTTCTAATGCATTTTATTCTACTATGTGTTAAAGAAATACGTGTAATGGAGACACAGAAAGACTTTAAGGCCACGTGTGGTAGCTCACACCTGTAATCCTAGCACTTTGAGGGGCCGAAATGGGCCTGACCTGAGGTCAGGAGTTCGAGACCAGCCTGATAAACATGGCAAAACCCCGTCTCTACTAAAAATACAAAAAATAGCCAGGCAAGGTGGTACATGCCTGTGGTCCCAGCTACTTGGGAGGCTGAGGCATGAGAATCACTTGGACTTGGGAGGTGGAGGCTGCAGTGAGCCAAGATTGCACCACTGCACTCCAGCCTGGGCGACAGAACAAAACTGCATCTTAAAAAAAAAAAAAAGTATTGGAAAACTGAGAGGGTTTAATCAACACATGTTGATTAACTCATGGGATAAGGCCCTGGATAATCACAAGCATTAAAGCAATGCCAATTCCACATGCCAATTTCAGCCCACCTTTCTGGGAAGAGTATGATGAAGAATGCAGGTTTGGCACTCTCTGGGAGCCACATCAGAGAAGAGAACCCTTGAATCCTGTGTGTAGAGAAAATAGCTACCGCCTACAGACTATAAACTCCATGAGGACAGGTACTATGTTTTGTTCCCTTTCCAGCACCTACCACCTAATAGGGACTCAAAAAATGTGTTGAATGGATGAAAAATATGAAACCATTAGTTTCTTGGATTACTGTCACCAAATCTTGTGTTATTCTTCATTCATTTATAACCAATGCCCTGAAGTTTGGGTGACTCCAGAAATCAAACAAACTTGGCACCCAACATAGTACACAAGGAGGTTATGGTATTCCTCTTAGGCCTCTCTAGGGGTGTGTGTGTGAGGGTAAGGAATGGAGAAGGCTGAAAATCAAGGAGGAAAGTCACTGGCCTGCTGGCCTTGGGTCTCAGGATTTGCTGTGGAGAGACAATAGCTGCTGTCAGATTGAGCTCTGGCAACCCCCAGGCAGTGGAACGCTGCTTTGCATGGTCCCTGTCTGGTTGGCAGCTTCTTGCCAGGGAAGGCTGCCAAGCAGCTTGTGACAGCTGTGTAGTATACAAGTCTCTGGGGTTCTTTGGTGCACTGCCATTTCTGACTTGCCTGTCTGCTACTGGTAGGAAGTAGCTGGGAGGTTCAATTGCCAAGGGACCCCATTTTCCATTGGCTTTCATTTTTCAGTGGGATGCCTGCCTATCTTGTCCTTCAAGATGGGAGTAGCTGGAAAATGGCCTTTAGCTTTTCTGGTCAAAAGAGACCTATTAATTCTGTGTATGAAGGAGATCTATAGTTCACTCTGCTCCCAACCACAGTGGGTTTTCAATATGACTGCTTGACCATATTTGCTTCCTAGCATCTTATCATAGTAACTGGCATCTGTCATAAACTACTACTAGGAGAAACCACCTGCCTGAATCATTAAAAAAAAAATTTAAGATAGCATTTTAACCATTTACTTCATTTGAAAAAAATTTCAAACTCTTAATGATTACTATTTGGAATGTTGACACCTTAGGAGACTTCAATAAGGGACCACCTGTTTATATTCTCTTAAAGAAGCGACTTTTACCTAAAGTTGCTGAAAAGTGAACTCAATTTTCCATCAGGAGATGCATAAATCTTAACTTAGATCCTTCTCTGCAGTCAAAGATAAAAGGTTAAAAATGAAATTTCAGGCGTTACCTTTCAGCATCATTCGTCCAGTGGATCCTCCAAAAGTACTGAGAAGGCCACTTCTTGCTCCCAAAGAGGTGGTTGCTTCTAGGAGAGAACCGGTGATGTATTGCGATATTGACGTCCTTTGGAGGGTGGCGCGATACTCACATACAGTGTCTCGGACACATTGCTTTAAGCACGGACCGATGCTTATCCTTCCATGGGCTGTCTCAGAGGCTGGGAGCTTTGTGAAAAAATGGAGTAGAGCTCGAACTGTATTTTCTGTTTCTTCTCCTCTTCTCACTGCATTGTAGATCTGTGAATAGCACAAAGTACAGGAAGTATTAATCTAGTTTCTTAGAAAAGTAAATTAACTTGTTGACAAAATGCCAAGATGACTTATTAAGAAAGAAGGCTCAGATGCTCCAAGTGCAAACACTCTGAGCACTGGGCTCATGCATTAACCTGAACATTCTACAGACACCATCTATTTGGAAAAGCTCTGTGTAGTTATAAAATAGGCCATTCAAACATCTCTGCTATCAAACAGAGAACTTACAAATCATACCAACCAAAAATACACTCAGTTCAAATTTCTCCTCCTCAGCAGAGCAAAGCTCTTCTGCAGAAAGATGAGGGCAGACCTTTCACTCTTGTCCTCCTGAACACTCCTGAATGACCGTCCATGTCTGTCTCCCTCCATTGAGTGCTTCAGCCTCAATGGACTTTTATGGGAAATTTTTTCTCCATGCTTAAACTGAAGTGAGGATGAGAGGGTCAGGGGGAGAGAGAACTTCCCTATTTCTCCCTTGAGCATAATCCTTCAGATTGTCAGCTGAGATCAAAGTCTTTGAATCATTTTTTCTCTTCTTCCTCCCCACCTTCCACATCCAATGAGTTGATAGATCCTGCTTACTCTTCTTGCCCCATCTATGTCACTATCCTGATTTCTTCTCCCTTTACCATCTGAATTCACCAAGCATTGTCTCAAGAAGATGGCACTATTAGGACAGGTTCCCAACCATGTCTCCAATCCATTTCAATGCAGTCATTCAACGTGCATGTATATAGTCCCTGCTCTGCACAAGACACTGTGTTGGAAGATGTGGGGAAACTGCAAAGGACAGCACACATCTCTCGTGCTGCTGCAGGATTTTACAATCTTCGATGAGGCCTGAAAATTATAAGGGTTGACATTATTGAAGGGAGGATTTGGAATTTGTCAAGCATTCTGAGAAGCCAGAGACTGCTGGATAATATATAAACAAACATGAGAGAGACAAAACATGCAGTGAGGTAATCTGGCTCTCTGATGGGGGTGGATAAAGGTGTACTACATTGTGCTCTCTCTGTCATATCGCTTGAGCACTTTGCCTTGGCTGACTTGTCATTCATTCATCAAACCAACAAATAGTTACTGTTTATATACCAGAAACTGTGACAGGGCCAGATAAATAAAATCATTTCTCTCCTTAGAGTTCACAGTCTAGTGAAGGAGACAGAAAAAAAAAAAAGCCAAGAGCTTAGAGTAGGGTGGAAATGAAGGTCACCTCCTTTGGTGACACTGATGAATAGCCAGGGAATAGAAGACTCTCACTGCCCCCCGGGTCATGCATGTGCCCCCATGATGTTGCATCCTCCAAATCTCACCTTAACTACGGCCCATGGACACTCAAGAGGGCCTCTCTTGAACTGTGGCAGGTCCTTATAAAACCCCAGAATGCACCCAGAATCCAATTATATTCAAACTGTGTAGACCCTAACCAGATTTTGTCTGTCTTCCTCTGTCTACTGGTATATATCTGCCACTTGAAGGTGTAGTATGAATTCTTACCTTTAATTCTCTGTTCTCTGTCATTAAATTTCTGGTGGCCAGCATGGCCATGGATATGGTGTACTGGGACAGAAAGAGCCCAGGTTTGGGGTCAGGTACATGAGGTTGTACACCTGACTACCTTCACCAGATAGAGAGCTGGTCATAAGTGTGAACAAGCTGACTTAAATGTTTCAAGACAGCTTCCTCCTCCGTAAAATAGGGATAATAACACTCTACTTAGGGAGGTTGTGGGATTCACCAAGGTAAATGTGTAATATACTCAGCCCAGTGTCTAGAAATGATGGTCTTTACTGTTGAAAAAGCCTATAAAAGAGAATACACTCTTTTACCCTCAAGAAATAATAGGTGATTGTATAACTATAGACCATAATCTATGAAATGCAATGTGATTGGAGTTATGCCCTTGCTCTTCTGTGTTTCTGGGCAATATTATCCTAACCTTATTTGGGTGTACTGTGAGGGCAAATGGGGGTAGAGAACTGCAGAGCTCAAGACATAGTTTTCTTCTCTTGGCCCTAAATCATATAGGCAGTCTCCAATACACTAAGTCCCATGTAAGTCCTTCAGAAGTAACTGCTCCAGTTGTTTAAGGAAAAGAACTGACTGAAGCTTGATGGCTAAGGAAGGCTTAATAGGGAAAGCAGGGTTTGACCTGTGCCTTGGAAAACAGGCATGTCTCTAACTGGAGCAGCTGGGAGACCACTCACCATGCAAGCAATAAGGACATCCAGCAGAGCAGGGTGTTTAGAGCAGGGTGTGGGTGCAGGGAATAACTGGGGAATGAGAAAGGTCAGCCGACTTGATAAATGAGAGCCTGGAATGCTAAAGCAAGAGCTTCCACACATCAGAGGTGGGCACCCTTGAGGTTTTTTTGCTGGTCTGTTTTCAGCAATGGAATGATGCTAAAAAGGTTTTGTCTTAAAAAGATGACTAAGCTGGCAATTCCTAGTTCCTAATAGGTTGGCCTACTTTCTGTACTTGCCACACTGCTCCGCTGGCTCATTGTGTGTTCACTCACTACCACGCATTCCAGTCTCCACGTCAGGCCTCCATAGACTACCCATCAGGCCTCCATAGACTCCCAATCGCTTCTTCAGCCTCTTATCCAGCTTTTCCAAAATGTTTTCCTCAAAACATTCTATCTACAACGAATCATATGACCTAAGGATGCCTTGATCATGAAAGTTTTAAAAAACTCAGTAAATCTCTTCTCCTTTTGGAGATTTACATTGCATAGCAGAATATTAAAGACAATTAGAAGGGTCAGAATAAAGAAATTATTTTAATTTGTTTAATGGAGGATTTCCCATGTTATTTGACCATTTTGTTTTTAAGAACAGAGCCTGTAGATGTAGTGCTGTGCCAAATAATTAATTTGCTTTAATCTAATGGCCTTATTCCCATTTCTTTGACCTCTGCAGAATCTCTGAAATAGGCAATCATCCATCCTTCCTGAAGTCCTTCATCTCTTGTCATCTCATCGTTCCATCTCTTCCTTATTCTGTGTCTCCCCTTCCACCTCTGGCCTTTAGGACAGTAATAATGCCATAGAAAGGTACTAACAGGTACCTAATGTGTTGGAGCGGGGGTCAGAAATCAATTGACCATGGGCCAGATTCGGTCAACAGACCTGTTTCATCTGACATACACTGTTTTAAATTCAGGAAAGTTTTACATATACATCTGAAGTTACAGCATCTCCTGAATAATGAAACAATCCAATAACACTGAGCATTCCTACATATCAAATGGCTAGACCTTCTACTGTGAGATGGGGCATGAGTTCTCCACTGGATGCCAGTCCCAACCATTCATTAGTGCTCACACCTGGCCAATATCTGGTTACCATTAGTATATGTGTTTCTGACCCTGTCTTAATAAAATGCAGATATGGATATAAATATTTACAACAAACATGTACTGAGCTCCTTCAATGTGTCCTCTGTGTGACCTTGGCTGTGCTAGTTGCTGAAGATATAGAGAAAGACACAGTCTCTGATATCAAAAGGTATTGCAAATCACCTCTAAGAAACTATTAATAAACATATAGAAATTCTATGTTTATATTAAGTAATATTTCAGCATTGTTATCAGCCACATGTTTCTAAGGCCCCAAACTTGTCTGAATAAATAAAAGATGAAGTGCTCTATGAATGAAGCTCTGAGCTTCCAATACCCTTGCCAACATTGTCACCACAAAGAACCAGAAAGAGATCAAATTTACTACCAAGAACTGAAATAACGCATTCCAGTCACATCAATCCTGGATGAGAGAAACTCCAGGTGCTTTGCTGGAAAAATGCTGAAGTGTGGACGATGTGGTGGTAGATATGGCAATGTTCAGGGAACCTGTCAAAATCAAGGTTTGGCCGGGCGTGGTGACTTATGCCTGTAATCCCAGTACTTTGAGAGGATGAGACAGACAGATCAGGAGGTCAGGAGGTCAAGACCATCCTGGCCAACATGGTGAAACTCTGTCTCTACTAAAAATACACAAATTAGCTGGGCACAGTGGTGCATACCTGTAATCCCCACTACTTGGAAGGCTGAGGCACGAGAATCGCTTGAACCCAGGAGGTGGAGGTTGCAGTGAGCCAAGATGGCACCACTGCACTCTGGCCTGGCAATAGAGTGAGACTCTCTCAAAAAAAAGAAATTCAAGGTATTTATCTCTTCCTAGATCACTCATGAAAAAGAAGAAATCATGGAAAAGCCCACATATGGAGTGTGAAGAAGAGACAGCAGAGAACAGCCATTACAAGTATGACTCCGGAGCATTGGTTTGAATTCCAGCTCCCATGCTTTCCAGCTGTGCAACCTTGGCTAAGTTGCTTTGCCATTCTGTGCCTCAGTTTCCTTTTCTCCAATATAGAATGTAATAGTGTCTGCCTCGTATGGTTGTGACTAGAATTATACACTTTGATAAATGTAATATGATTAGAACAGCATCTGGAACTTAGTAAGCGCTCAATAAATACTAGTTTTTATGATGACAGTGATGATGAGGATTGTGGCAGGCAACAAAAATGGCCATGAATTATTTCCTTCACTGACGATGTGCTAGAACTGTGATTTCCTTCACTGACGATGTGCTAGAACTGTGATTTCCTTAACTAATGGAAATTTAGCAAATGTGATGCAAGCAGTTTAAAAAATACTTATGCTTTGGAGCTTGCTCTCTCTTGTTGCTTTTGGAAACTTTGCAACAACTACCGTGTGAAGAATCCTGAACTAGATTGCTGGAGCATGAGAAACCATGGCCAGTCACTTCTGTCACCTTGGCTGATAACTTACCAACAGCCAGACACATAGTGAGACCATCCTAGATCCTAGATCATCCACTTGTCAGTCCAACTGCCACCACAGATACATGAGAGACGCCAGCAGAGATCAATTGATCCAGACTAGAATTACTCAACCAATTCACAGAATCATGGGCTAAATAAATGATTGTTTTGAAAAGTGAGTAAGTTTTGGGAGTGCTTTACTACACAGCAAAAGTTAACTGACACAATGATGACGCGTTTGGAACAATAGTAAGTATTTTAATTACTTAACAATTGAATCCACAGACTACCTGTATAAAGTTGATTCATTTTGTAGATGGGAAAGTAAGCCTGGAGAGAGGTAGAGAAATACAGTCAGCCTTACACAACTAATAACAGGCTACGCCAGGATTAAAACCCAGATTTCTCCAACTCTGTGATCCAGCTTTATCCATTGCACTACACATTGTCACATGGTTAGAAGTGATTCTGGCAAGAGGTTTAGGTGATGTTTACAATGCTGTTGTTATTGTTTTTATTCATGATAATTCCTTTCCTGGTCATTCTCAATTACTTTTGAAAATAGTCAAGTCTAATGAATGACCAAATGTGCTTCCTTTATGTGGAGATTTATAGTTTTAAGTTATATAGTAATATAAATGCTTTTATCTTACTTGATTAAAACTAGACAGACTACTGCCCTATATGGGTCAATATATTTTTTGAAATCACAACATGGCATCCACACTTGCTAAACAGCTATGTGAGCATTTGTTTATTCATCAATTGATTTATATTTACTGAGCACATACATTGTGCTAAGCCCAACTGCTGGTGTTCTACCAGTAAGCAAGATGAGCTTCGTTTTCATGGGGAAGGCAGACAATAAACAAGTAGACCAAATAAATTAGTAAAAAATTGCAGGCCGTTGTATATAGTCAAGGCGTATTTTGGATGTAGACCCTACAGGACTTGCTGAAATCTTTGGGAGTAAAGGATAGCAGTCAGAGTTTTTATATTTGGTCATTGTTAAGTTTTAAATAGAGATTTAGGCTTTATATACAGAGCTACAGATCAATGTTGCAAACTGTGAATGGATCCTTTCCACAGAATTACACCTCTCCCATTTAAGTGCTGTGAAATGACATGGCTTGGAGTGGCTTGGGCAAAATGACTTGACATGATAAAGTGACGTACAGAAAAGCAAGCAAGGCTTAGGTAACACTCGCAGAAACACTTAAAAAAACATTTGCAGTTCCTTGTGACTCATGAAAGAGGGATGCCATATGTGACTCATGAAAGAGGGAAGCAAGTACTGGGACATGGAGTTTAGACCCAAAACAAAAGAAACAAACATACTGAGGCTGAATAGAGCTGGGGTAATTCAGATGGTGACAAAGGCAAAGACTTGCATGCGCTAAAAGGCATGAAGCAACCAGACACACCACATCCACAGCACTCACCCAGAAGGAAAGTTCCTTGGAATAGCCAGAGAGAGCTTTTTTTTCACCTGACTTCTACGGAAGTCAGAGAGGGTATTGCCAAGGGGAGTCAATTTTTGTACTTGTTCTGTTTCAGAAGCTATCTTTTTGATATCAGTTATGAAAATTATGAAGTTCTAAGATCTGATGGCATTATCTTCTGAAATCTTTCAACAGGAATAAAGTGTGTTACTTAGAGGTCCATTGACTCAATAATAATAATAATAATAATTATAATTATTATTATTATTGCATCATTTGTTGAATGCTTAAAATGAACTAGACCCTGAGTAGTGAGACA